AGCTGGAAGAGAGCTCAGTCTCAGCCTCTTGCTGAAAATAATGGGCAGGCTGATGTAGATGCAGCTTATCTTTAGTGAGGCAGCAAAATGCAGCCTAAAAAACAGAATTTTGGGAGATCAGCCGGTGTGATGTCAGAGCTACACCATCACGGGCTGAAACCGAACCATCCCAGCAACAGCACCGAGCAGCCATGATCTGTTGCATCGCAATACAACCTCCATAAAGTTGGATTTTTTTAAAAAAGAATTAAAATATTTAAGTGAAAAAAAATTAGAAAAATAAAAAAATCAGTGTTAGGTAAGTTATTGCAGGTTGCAGCACACACATGACTGCACATGTGTGTGCTGGGTCTTGGAGCACCCTGATCTAGCGGAAGGTGCCCCTTTCTGTGGCAAGGGGTTGGAACTGGATGATCTTTAAGGTCCCTTCCAACCCAAATCATTCCATGATTCCATGATATTGCATCTCCCTTACATCACCTGGTACTGGAAAAGTATGACCCAAAGAGGACAATAACCTCATTGCAGGACAAAGTTGTCCATCAGTTCTTTTCCCTGCAGCGGCTTTGGAAGAGCCCGGGTTCCTCCTCAGAAGGGCTGCTGGAAATTAATGTATTGATCCCAAATTTTAGTGTTTCCATATTCAGTGCCAGATCAAACAACAGAGCCAGAGACAGGAGGGCTCTGCTGGGAAAGCTGACAAACACGAGGTGGTTTTAATCAGTAGTGTAAGGGGTGTAATTGCTAAATCCCAATTAAGGAAGATGTGGGTCAAGTAAAGGAAAAAGGGTGGATTTCTATGAAAGCTGAGGAAAAGTCAAAAGGCTGAGGCTCATCGGATAACTTTATTTTGGGAATAAAGATGTGAAGCTGCCTCCTCCTCCCATTGCTCTCCCAGCATCCAGCCACTCACCACTCCTGCCTCAAACACCCACTTCAGGGGGATGCCAAGGGAAAAAAAGGGAAGGAAAAAAAAAAGGAGAAGAATGGAACCCAAAACTTCACTAGAAGGACAACAACTTTTTTTGAGAAAACTACTAGTCTGTTTTCCTAAAAATTTAAAGAAAATTCAATCTAAACCCCCTTTCAGGATTATGTTTAAATACGATTTTCAGTAAAAATAAGGGAAAATGTACTGTCTGATCTACCTTTTATTAATTTTTCCATGAGAATGTCATCTCTTTCTCCGAAGGGGAGATTATTCCCATTATCAACAAATTTTAACTAGTATTGTTCAAATCTAAGGGTTTTACTGAATTTGCACTTCCTTTGGCTAATCAGGGAGCTCCCTCTATTATTTAATCTATTTACATTCATGTATGCAATTATATTTTGTAATCTGATTATGTGTTCTATATCTTTGTAGGGCTGAAAATGCTGAATGTTGCATTTCTTTTTTTATTATATGAGTTGTCAAGTTCTTTTTGGATGGAAATGAGAGTTCAGTACCACGATGGTGAGAACAGCATTAATTCCACCAGCTAAGCAGACCTACCAAAATAGTGCTGGATATGAAATTCTGTACCCGAATATTAAATTTTATTAATAAATTTCATTAGTAAAGTTAATATGCAAAGGAGATATTATGATCTATAAAAAAAAATTAATAGGTGGTTTCTGATCATCACGTCCTTCAAGATACTAAAACCCAGCAGATCTTATTCTTTCAAATCTATTTTTTATTCATAGATAGGGAGAGGAAAACACATTTTCTGCTCTTCCAACTCCCAATCATGTTTTCAGTTCTGAGTGAATTAGTCATTGACCTGAACCAGCTGAATACATTGAAATGAAAAAAAAAACAACCCAACTTTCTGCTGTTGCTGAAATCGCTGTCACCACGTTTATCACTGCAGCAAAGTCTGACTCCTGGTGCTGAGCTGGATCCTGCCACTTCGCTCATCTGAACCACTTCAAAATGATCTCAGAAATATCTTCTGCCTAAGCCTGTTTTGCATTTAATCTGAATTATTTACCTAAGTTATCAGTTTCCTTGGTTTTATTCTCATGGCACCCTCTGCACTGACCCAAACTGATGGGTGAAATACCAACCTCAGCCCCTGGAAGTGCCCAAGGCCAGGTTGGATGGGGCTTGGAGCAACCTGGCCTAATGGAAGGTGTCCTTGCCCATGGCAGGGGGTGCGACTGGATGGTCCTTAAGGTCCCTTCCAACCCAAACCAGTCTGTGATTCTATGACAGAATAATAATGTAGGACAAGACATTGTTTTATTAAGAAAAAGAGAAAATGGGAAGCAATGATAGAAAACAGTGTAAATTTGACCTGGAGGAGATCCAGTTGTGACTGCTGGTTATTTTAGCATCCAAACCTGCTCTTTCTGCTGTCTCTTGTATTTGAACTTACTGTTGGAGTGCAAAGTTCACACAAACCAGAATTATTTATGCCAGTTTCCACTAAGAACAGAAAATTTCACCACAGAAAGAAAAAAAAATCTTTATTTCCTATCTTTGACTCAAAATGTGTCATCCCTATAACATGGAACTGTTGCATTGCCAATTCTAGTGGCACTGTGGGATTTGGTCAAACACTGGACTTGATGATCTCAAAGATCTTTTCCAACCTTAATGATTCTATGAAAGCCCCTCATATTCTTTATCAACTTGAGGCAGAAGAAGCCATTCAAAGGGCACAACCCTCATTGTCACCTGACTTAGGGGAAAAAACTGTCCTCTTGATAATGCTCCCATGGGTTATTTTATAATATTTGTGGGCAGCACCTGGAAAGCATGAGCAGATTATTTGCTTCTGGTTTGCTGGGTTAATTTAAAATATTTTAATTTAAAAAAAAAAGTGATTTATTGCAGATTTCTGCATTTACATCACTAATGTAAATATGTAGCTAATTGCTTGACTGTATATATTTATTAATTTTTGAGTTATTCCAGTTTCTTGTCATGGCATTTTACAACCATCAAAAGCAGAGCATTTTGAACATCTTTATGTGTAATACCCTAAAGAGGGTTTTTTCAGGACTTAATTTTTTTCTTATAAATGCTGCTCTCTCTCTGTATTTTTCCTGTGCTCACCCCCTTGCTGAAGGGTCTTAGGAAGTTCCTGTCTGAGGGTGTGGAGCTTTGGAGCAGGGACTGACATGGGCAAGGAGTGCTTAGCTTGGACCTCTGCAAAACATGATTCCATAAGTTTTGGGCCAGTAAATACCAGTTTAGAGCTGAAAACTAAAAGGTCTCTGAGTAGTTTTCCCATAAAAACCAATAATTTCTTTTTATATTTTGATAAATACTAATGTCTTTAGGGTCCTGCTGCTCCTGTGCCCCCCGGTTTCTGGCTTTAACTTGCTGACTGACACAGCTCTGGTGGTTTGTACGGAGACTGTAGATGGTCCTCACTCAAGGATCTGGCTTCACTCCTTGGTCCATCAGAGCCTCTGGCTGGTCCTTACCCACTGCTTGGCCTTTGCTAATTTGTCCAGGCTGTGTCTTAAGGGATTAAGTAAGTGAGGGAGTAGTTGAGGAGAAATCTTGGAAGCTCTTGTAGAGATATTTGAGATAGTACAGTGTTTGTTGGATTGGTGACCTACACTAAGATGAGACACATGGATAAATCAAAAAGTGAAGAAGCACCATGGACTGAATTAATCTGCCCAAATAGCCTTGTGGGATGGTTATTAGAGGTTGTATTATATTATTATTTCTATTCATTACAGTTTCAAAGTACTTTTGTGTCTGTAGTCACAAACCCCTGGACCAAGAGCTGCACCAAGGAGGAAGGTGGTTACTGGTCACTGGCACAGGTTGCCCAGAGAAGCTGTGGGTCCCCCATCCCTGGAAGTGTCCAAGGCCAGCTTGGACAGGGCTTGGAGCAACCTGGGATAGTGGAAGGTGTCCCTGCCCATGGCAGGGGGTGGAACTGGATAGTCTTTGAGGTCCCTCCCAATACAAACCATTCCAAAGCCATCACAGAACCCACCCTGAGCACTTGCCCCACAACAGAACTCCACAGCACGAGGACAGAGATCATTAAACACAACTTTATTGGGTTTCACTGTACAATTTTTTTACACATCTTTCTCCTTTCTTCTCTCACTCTTCTCCTTGGCGTCTCCATCCTTCTTCGCAGATACAGGGCAACTGTTGCTTGGCTGTATTACCCAGACCAATTCCAGCCTCAGTTTCCTTTTTTGATTTTTCTATTTTAGAAATCTATTAAATCTATTAAAATCTATTTTAGATTTTACACAGTAAGAAATCTGTAATTTTTGTCAGGTTAAAGCAAAGCATCTTTCAGATAATTTCTGTTCTGGGGTCTGTTCTGTTGCTGTCTTTTGTTACAAAGTCGTTTCTGAAACAGCTTAATTTATTTCAAGGTAAATACAAAAAAAAAGAGTCACATAACAACCAAAATCCTCTAAAAGCTTTGTGGGCACCAAAAATGCACCGTTTTTTGATTAATTACCTGCAGCCTTTAGTTCACGCTGCCCTGTCAGTAGTAGCACTAAGTCAAGAAAAAGAAACCAAAACTATTAAGTGCAACTGTTGCTTTATTCGTATGTTTAAGAAATAAAATACAACAATATTACCTCTGTCACTATCACATTTCAACTGGCCAAAGTGCACTGGTGATGTCACTACCTGAAGTGGGGTCCCAGACTAGGAGGTCTCAAATCCTCCATGAGTTAATTTTGACCTGAACAGAGAAATTTCATCTAACAGTGAAATTTAGCATTATATATGAGAAAAGAAGGGGGCTGGGTTCCATTATTTAATTTCTACAATTTAAAGTTCTGGGACAGTTAATTTAATTTAAAACTTCTGCATTTATAAGAATCTGAATAAAGATAATCACTTTTTGAATTATACCACCAACTTTTAAAAACTTTTTATTACTTGTGGGACTTCAGGAACGTTCCTCTTTTGTATGCTTTTGTAGAGGTTGTTTGCATGCCCTGACTCCAGACTGGGTGCTTTCTCTTCCCTTCCCTGTAAAACTTAGGTCACTACATTGCACAACGACAAGTGGCCCAAAAAAAAAAAAAAATCAATTTGTAATCTGATTTGAGGGTTTTGATTTCCTCTGATGAGTTTAAATTTCATTAAAAGCAACCTTATTCTCACATAAAAGAACTCCTTGAAGGGTAAAACAGGGAATTGTCTCAAAGAGTATAAAGAATCTCCGCTCCTTTGTGCTATTTATTCACGGCATTAATTGTGGGGTCCGGCGGGCGGTGTCGGTTGGCAGATGCACCATTATCGGCCCCGGGATCTGCGTGAGGAGGGGAGGGGAAGCACAAGGGCTCACATTCAAAAATCACTCTGTGCCGTATCGACACTTTAGTTATCAACAGCCCTTATTATCTGCTTAGCAGCGGATCGCAGCTTGCCCGTGACATAATAAGCTACAAATCACTGGTGGGGCCTTTCTGCATTCTCCTAATTGTGTGTATTCTCTGGAAAAAAATTATCGTCGGGCCTCTTGTCTTGATGAGAAATTGACATTTTCTGCGGGAGCCTGGCAAGGAGTATGTGGGGAGATAAGACTTATAGTTGTTTTAAAGGAGTGCAGCCATTCTTTCAGAGGCCTCTTTATTGCTCTAGTTGACCCACTTGATGAGTATGGATTTCATGAGGTCTTTTTCAGCATTTGAACTATAAAAGGTTCAGAATGACACCACCCCTTATAGACAAAAGATAACCTTGCCCTTTGAATATATTGATTCTTTATTAACTAGGCTGTTTAATGCAATGAAATGAGGCATTAGATTGAAGCCTATTTCAAGTGCTTTGAATAATCTTTAAAAGCTTGAAAGACTTTTAAAAGCTGCTCTGCAGTAATTGGTGTATACTTTTAAAGACTGTTATTCCTTCATTTTTGATTAAGGAATTTTTATCATCTTCCTATGTCTAAACTCACTGTAGGCTGACACAACATATTTCCTCACCAGGGCTATTACCCAGCTACAGATGTAGGTGGCGGATCGCTCTAGGACTTGTCACTCCTAGTACAGCTTGTGTGGGTTTTCTCCTTTTGTATTTTCTTTGCATTGAAAGTTAGAGGAACCATTTAGATGCTCATTATTCAAACCTTTGAAATAAACCTAAAAGGAAAAGCGCCAGTAGGCATCACGCAGACTTTCATCCCTAAAAACCATCTTATTTTTTTAGTGGGATGCATCTGATTATGCCGCCGTTTAAACACGATACATGGATACACATTCAAAGTGGAACAGTTTTCAATGCATAATAATAATAATAATAATAATAATAATAATAATAATAATCCAAAGTGCTCTATAGCTTTAACACCTGTTTTCATCACACCTGTTTTCATCAAACATGATAACTATGGAAATAGTGGAGAAGAAAGGAAACATGGTTAAATATCCCTGTTTTTCTCCTTCGTAGGTTGTGACTACAGTGAGCTGCACCTTCTCATCACACTCTACCACTCTGCCACTAAGACATGGGGTGGTGAAGGAGAGGCTCTGGCACACCGTGTGTCATTTGGCACTACATCCACATACACCAGTCCATATATTTACTTTGGAGCTCAGAGTTTCTCAGTGCCCTCTCGAAGTTGTCAGCAGCCCTCTGATTAATGACCGGATCAAAATCCATAACAAAATCCCTGCTTTACCACCGTAGGCACTTACATTGCTCTGCCAGACCCATATTCCTGAAAAAAAGCTTTTTTTTGCTGCTACTGCTCACACACAACGATACAGGAGCACACTTGGCATCTGGGGTGCGGCACTCAGACCTGGAATCAAGCAAAGCGTTGTAACTCTCTCTGACTCTGAGGCTGCATCGTGCCCTCCTCAGTATATATAAATATATATATATGTATGTTTTAACTCCGTTATAAGTACACTGCACGTACTGTGGTCCAGAGGGTGAAATATTTGTCCTCAGTATTATAATTAGCCAAAGCATTTGCTTCCTTATCAGCAGTTAAAAGACGAGCACGTCGACCTTCGGTGTCCAAGTGCCGCGTGGAAAATTTGGGTTGTGCTTTGTTTAAAATAACTTTTCCTGTTTACAGACTTTTACAATATGACATTAAAATAGTAAAAAAAAAAATCTACCGTTACCTTCACTTTACAAAAAGGGTGTCTAAAGTGCACAGCTTTGGTTAAATAAGAAAGAGAGATGTTCTGCTGTTATCTTCACTTCACAAAAAGTGAGCGGTTTTGGTTAAAGAGCTGCACCAAGGTTGAGCAACAAGGCATTTTTCTGTGGAGCAGAGGTCTCCTTCCTCATCCTCCTCCCAAGGAACTGAAAAGACCATGTCAAGGGTTGGGCTTTTTCATGACCAAGAAATAAAAATTCTGATATTTAGAAATGAAACCCCCAGTGTTGCATTTTTTCATTTCATGTTTTAGTCACTTTTTTTAATAATCAAACCAGATAAAATTACTAAAAATGAAATTCACAGACAAGAAATACTTTAATTAAATATTGTGTAAAATGAACATTTTTTTATACAGTTAAATATATGAAAAAATGTACAGATAAAACAATCTTATTGTAGGGTCTTTAACAGTAAAATCTACCATTTAGTGAAGCTTTTCGTCTGGAGACAATGAAGCAATGAGTGCATTGACTAATTAATCTAAAACACAAACAGATTGCATTTATGAAGGAACTTGCAGACTTTCTTAACATGTACACGTGACCTCTTTTGTTTTTTTTTTTAGAGCAAAACCTTACTTAGACAAAATATAACGGAGGCAATTCAGTTCCAAAGTGACTTCTCAGGCTTTCCCACTTAGCCAGGCCTCGGCCATGCTCACAGAGCTGTATCGTTCTTCTAAACCCTTTAATAAAAGCTTTACTAAAATGTGCATTTTTTTTGCCCAGAAAGAAAAAAAAAATTAAAAACAATAATAAAAATAATTTTAAAAAATGATCCCTCCTTTTTGGTTAAAACGTGAATTCTGCTGCAGTTTGCAAGGTGTTTTGCAGTGCTGTGCTGGCAAACCAGTTAGTGCAAAGGAAAAATAAAAACAACTCCACGTTTTTCTTGCTGGGTTTGGCACTAAGAGCCACGGAATATAACGGAGGTCATTCCAGTTTAAAAAATACAGTCAGCTATGGGTCATTTACAAAAGGTTCCCTAAAAAAAAACACCCCAAGAAACCTAAATAAACAACTCCCAGACATTAAAAATTCAGTGTGATCCTGATTTCCCGTGTTGGAGCAGTGCAGGGTTTGGGAGAATGCAGAGTGCAGCAGAAAATCGACACAGAAAGGAGTGGGAGAATTGTACACCAGGATTGTGCTTTTTTTTCCCCTTATTTTTTACACCAGAAATCATCCAAATGAAGTCGTGATTAACAATTGTGGTGTAAGCCTGTGATAAAACAGCACAAAAGTTCTTCAAAGAAGTTCACTTTTAAGGCATCAGAGAAGTTCATGTGGCAAACATTTTAATTAAAACATCAGAAGTGAATTTATTTTTAAACTTTAGGCCTCTGAATTTTTCCAGTAAACACAGTTCAGCTATGTGGCAAAGTCATGGGTGGCAGCTAAAAATGACTTTTTACAATCTTTAAAAAAAAAAAAAATAAAAAATAAAATAAAAACAAACAAACAAACAGAAAAAGGAAATAAAAAAATGCAACCACAAAATAGATTCATCTTTTCTGTGGCTGTATCACATGCACATATTCTACTAGTATTCATTACAGCCATGTGGCACAATTTTGATTTGACTATACAACGAACGACTTTTTTTTCAAAATTATTTGTTCTGATAACTTAAAAATAATATAAAAATAAACAATGAATTTGACTTTTCCTCAAAAAAATAATAAAGAAAAAAAGGATGGAAAGGCTAAACAATAGCAACTTTATGAAGTACAAATGAAATGCACGGACACTCATTTATTTAAAAGAAAAACATGAAGGCAATGGTTCTTGGCTTAATGCTTTTTTCAGCATCACGATACCAGGCCAGGACAAAAACCAATACATACAGGAACATAAAAAAAAAAAATATGAAAAGCAATATACAAAATTTCAAAGATAAATACAATATTTATAGTTGATATGTTACAAAATAAATTCCCTTAGTGACTGCAAGTGTTTATGTGAAAGAAAGTGTTGCAATGGGTAAGACTATTTTATTCCTTATAGCCTCCATAAGGAATAAAATCTGCTTTTTGTTTTCTAAATATTTAAGTGGATCTGAAAAAAATTCAAGACAAGTGTATAAATATTTAGCTACAACTTTGGCAAAATCACAAAAGTCTACAATTTTATAACCACATACAAAACACATTAGGGAAGAAGGATCTAGAAGTCAAAAGGACAATTTTCTGGTACAAGAAACATAGACTTCACAGTAGCCTAAAATGCAATAGTATACAGTGCTAGCAAAAGTTGAAAAAATGTTGCAGATCACACTTGCTTAACAGGAAGCTCTAGCAGTGGAAGTATATTTTTTTCATTTTTTAAACCAACAGACAGTAGCAATTTCTTTTTTTTTCTCTGTCAGTGTGCTTGTTGAAGGCAAGAGAATTCAATATCAAAGTTACAATTTCTAACTACAATAAGTTACAAAGTTCCATTTCATTAAGATGAAGTTAAGCAACGATAAACCCCCCCCGTGCCCGCCCCTGAGCCCCGGTTTTTTGTGTGGTTTTTTTTTTCTAATCATATATTCATCCTTATTTTTTTTTATTCTTTTTTCCAGTTTGATGGCTCATAACCTCCTTGGCCCCCTTTTTTTCCACCACAAAAAAATATTTCACATTATAGAGATACACAACCATTGTGAATCTAGTTATGAGTACAGAAAAATGTTCGGAGGCATTTTTCATCAGTGTTTCATGATAATCAAAATGGTGCATCCACAAAGTTTCTCCCAACACATAGCAAGTACTAGACATAGCCAAGACGTAATCAGAAACTTTATACAAAATAGGCGTCGCTTTTTCCTTATTCTCCAGGACTGAGAAATGTGAAAATATGAGAAAAATTCAGTCAATAAAATGGAATTGTTCATGAAGAAGTAGGTTGTTTGCATGTAGATTCTTAATAGTTTAAATAAAATCTTTAAACAAAGTCTTTTTTTTTCTTTTTTTTTGTTTGTTTTTTTTTCCTGTAGCATTTCGATTTGTTGCTGATTCTGCGTGAAGATACTGCTTCCATCAGCATGTCTTAATATACTAAACTTGTCCCCTAAGCCCATCCTCTGCAGCTTGGTGCTATGGTAGGTAAACAAAAGTGACTTTACATTGGCGGGACTACAAGCCCGGACATGGCTAAAAGAGAAAAGAGAAGAAAAAGGAGCCGTTATTGTCACAACTGGGGGAAGGCACAGCTGGTTCAAAGCCATCGCAATGCTCAAACGGAGGATGCAGACCCAGGTTCCTCCACATCATCCTCGGACCAAGGGGACCGTGGACATGCACTTCTCATAGCAAAACAAAGGGCTTCTCCTTGGGAAAGGAGGCTCTTAGCAGGATTTTGAGGGAAGGGCACCCTGACTCCTGTGCACAGCTCTCCAGGCTCCCGACAACACTCCTAACCATGACACCGTTCCTTGGGGACATCCCCTCTAACCATCACTTCATGCCCAGACCTGCACCTGGGTAGAAAACCTCCTTTTCCACGATTCTACTTTATGATAAAAGCAGGACTGAGCAAGCCGAGAACTTTCCAAGACCAAAGCCGAGGACTCTACACCTCCTCCCAGCTCTGGAGCTCAAATGCCATAAAAAGACAGTGACAGGATCTGAGGGAATGGCCTGAAGTGGTGTCAGGGCAGGTTTAGGTTGGATATCAGGAGAAGGTTCTTCCCCTAGAGGGTGGTTGGGCACTGAACAGGCTCCCCAGGGCAGTGGTCACAGCACCAAGGCTGCCAGAGCTCAAGGAGCATTTGGATGATACCCTCAGGCACATGATGGGACCCCTGGGGATGGTCCTGTGCAGGGCCAGGAGTTGGACTCGATGATCCTTGTGGATCCCTTCCAACTCAGCATATTCTGTGATTCTGTGATTCTATCAGTAGCCTAGACCAGCCATATCCAGTATTTTAACAGATAAAGACTGATATGCCAACAACCACTGGTTTTTTTCCTAGTTAACTCTTTGGTAGAAACGTAATTTAGACAGTCTTTAATTTTAGTGTTGTTTAATTTTTGCCATAATGATATTTCTCATTAATTTATGTACAACAGATATTAATAAATTTGTTCGTGTAGTGATGTGAACTTCAATTTCTCAGTTCATTAATTTCAACAATATTAATTTATTTCTGATTCGCTGTTACAGCTTTACGGTTTGGAAGAGCTGGGTCCATACACATTTCATAGGTGACACAACTTCCTGCAGCAGCATGGTCTGCACCATCAGCGCTGCTCCAATGGATGCACCCAGAGCCCTGAGCAGTCCTGGTCCTTCTGGCACCACTTTTGGGAAGGATTTGGATGGGATGTTGTCTAAAGCACAGTTCAAGTGATGCCTTCGAAACAGGTTAAAATTTTCCAACTCTACCACTTTTTTCCCCAATTAGATGTAACAAATATGTTGAAATTGAAACCGAAGTTATAATTTTGCATTTTTTATAATACTGAATGTTTTAAAGCTAAACAGCAACTGAACTTACAAAATTTACCAGGAGAATAGTGCATATATTGGCAGAGACCCTTCTGACCTGAAACATTTAGTTTCTTCATCATGTTTTCACAGAATCCAAGAATCACTGAGGTTGGAAAAGCCCTCCCAGCCCATCAAGTCCATCCTGTGCCTGATCCCCACCTTGTCATCCAGCCCAGAGCACTGAGTGCCACATCCAGTCGTTCCTTGGACGCCTCCAGGGATGGGGACTCCACCACCTCCCTGGGCAGCCCCTTCCAATGCCTGAACACCTTTTAAAGAAGCCTTAAAACAACCCTTCACTAAATCTTTGTTCCACACTGCATCAGCCCGGGCCAGCAGATGACCTTGCCCTGTGTTTGGACCTGCCAAACCCCTCAGGTTGGCCTCTCCAATGGGATTCAGTCAGCAGGAAACCTGTCACCACGTCAGTCTGGTTAACTGATGTGCACTTGAACTGGAGGATGCTGGAGATCATTTTGAGGTGTTATCATAGACTCACAGAATCATTAAGGCTGGAAAAGACCTTTAAGATCATTCAGTCCACCCATCAACCAGCACCACCACCATGTTCACCACTAAACCATGTCCTCCAGGTCCATGTTGCAATAACACCATCAGCTTCTCCATCCCTGAAAATGTCCATGGCCAGGTTGGATGGGGCTTGGAGCAACCTGGAATAATGGAAGGTGTCCCTGCCCATGGCAGGGGGTGGGACTGGATGGTCTAACCCAAAGCACTCTGGGATTCTATGATTCTACTGTGTGAAAAATTAGATTATCTGCTGCATGCTTTTTTTTGGGGGGGGGGTGGTACGGGGGGAAGAAGTCTAAATTTTTTAATTTAACCATTTTTGTTGAATTCTCCCTGTGGCACAATGGGAGGGAGGTGCAAGGTTGGTGCTCCAGACATTTATTTCACTGTTCTTTTAGTGGCAGCATTTGACAATTGTGAATTTCTGCACTGTGCTTCCTGCTGTGCAAATTGATACCAAATGCCTTCTTAAAGAAAAATGAGCTGGCTAGTTTTTTAATAATAATTTTAATACTTTCATCCAGGGAAAGACCAGAAAATTAAGCAGGATGCAATTTTAAAAGAATATAGAGACCCTTGTGCTCTGCATTACAGTCCTATAACCAGAGAGCAATATCTTTCACAATCTATAGAAAGTAAATTACAATTGAAAACCAAATTTTGAACATATATTGTACTTCCAACTTTGCAGCGAGCCAGCACTTTCTCACTAAAAAAAAATATTTTATACCTTAAATGTCCATTGTTTAAACAGGAACAGGCTCTCTGCCCAAAGGAACACATACAGTAGGATCCTGCTCTTAAAAAAGTGTGTGAGTACTTGACTTTGTGATCATAATTTATGCAATGGAGGCCATATGGAGTCAACAAGATTGTGGCTTTTTGGATATGGCCCAAAGGCCCTTTTTTGTAGGCTTAGTCACAGGAGTGAGTCATGGCCATGGGACAACAGAGAGAGAGAGGTGTCTCCTCTGTGATTTGCAGCTTCCGAGCGTTGACCCTGATCAGGTACCGGCTGGCTGGGGATGGATGTGCAGCTGACATGGGTGCAGCAAGGGGGAAGACAACACATCAGCCCTGGCTGTCATGGCCTGCACCCTGACCCCTCTGAGATCTCCCCAGATTGTCTTCTTTTTTATTTGTTTTCATTCTTAACCTCTGTCTTTGTAAAATCACAGACTGGTTTGGGTTGGAAGGGACCTTAAAGACCATCTTGTTCCAACCCCCTGCCATGAGCAGGGACACCTTCTCAGGTGTCTTGGATCTCTTTAGAAAAAAGTCTACTGGCTAAAGGCCGTGTTCCCTCTCGGGCAGTAGGTCGTACAGTGCAGTGGGTTTTGGGGTCGTGCTTCCTGGCAGCAAGATCTTGCTTCTAGTGCGCAGGGCTCAGGTGGTCCTGATGCTTAGGGTGATGTTAGCATAAGCCAGGAGGTAGAGCAGCTCAACCTCTGCTTTATGCTTTGTTAGGAGACAAAAATATCTCCCTCAGCTCCAGGTGGAGCTTCATAACTCTGCTCCTGTGTTCTCACCACCTTAGGTGTACCAAGAACAGCATTTTTCCCACTCATAGACACATCCTGCGGGGGTTTACCCAGCAAAGATCAGTGCAATTAACCCCCAAATCCCTGCGAAAGGACCACCTGTGCCTGCATTCTTATCCATTCTTATCCATGTCCTGCCTTATCCATAAACTGAAGGATTTACCTCCAATACAACAACAGTGACCACGAGCTCTTAATTCCCTTTTGGGTTGACTAAATGTGTGTGACCATTTCTAACAGTGCAGACTCTTCAGTTGCCACTCAGCTCCTTTATATCCTGCTCTGTAATGAGACTGTACTTCAAGATCACAAAAAAAAACTTCTGCTGCATTGGACTGCAGCTCTTAAATTCCAAATTTTAACTTAATGTAGAAAATGTGCTGATCAGATAACTCTCAAGCTGTTTGCACAGTGTCCAGAAAGCAACTTTAAAAAGAGCTCAATATCCATAAATGACTAAGAAAATAGGAAGAAAAACAGAAATTCCCGAAACAACTGTATGGGTCAAATGCAGTATAAATAAGTGCCAACACAAGAGTGTTGGTGGCTTTTCTTTATGATATCTCATGAAGGAAGGAGATGACAAATTCATCCCTGTCTTCCCACTCAGTTCTGGCAGCAGTTCAGTTCAAGGCAGGGGTTGAAATCTGTGAGGACAACTGGGGGAAGTGTTGTCAGCCTGAAACCTTTTGTGAGTTCAGTCTGAATTAACTCAGTAGTTTTGGTTGGGAGAAGTGATGTTGCCCCTGCTTTGAAGGAACCTGAATGAGGTGAGGGGGTGGTGAGGCCCTGGCACAGGTTGCCCAGAGAAGTTGTGGCTGCCTCCTCCGTGGAAGTGTCCAAGGACAAGTTGGATGGGGCTTGGAGCAACCCGGGATAGTGGAAAGCGTTTCTGCCCTAAGTTGGAAGTAGATGGTCTTTAAGGTCTCTTCCAACCCTACCCATCCCAGGGTTCTATGATTCTCTGTAAGTTCCTGAATTCCTCACAATACTGAGCATCACTTTGTGGTGCTACTTTGCATAAACAATTCAACTTTTTGTCACAACCCTGCTCTAGTTACCACAACTCACTGCTCTAATTACCAGACCAGAAGGACATTCTCCCTATTTCTCTGTGTCATTCTGCTCAACACAAAATTATTCCATTCAGCCAGTCGAGGAAAAAATGGCAATTGTTTGTTTGCTTGTTTGTTTTCAACACTTCTATTTATTTTCAGTTCGGCTGCTGAACCAAAATCCAAAAGGATGACACCAGGTCTGCTGCTTGGATTGCAGCATCCTAAAATCAGGGATTAGTGGCATTGTCAAGTGTTCACTGGGCTGTCTGGCCATGGAAAAAGCTTAGTCCAGAGAAAGGCTGGGCTCAGCCTAAGAGTTAAATTGATGACCTAGTTAACACAATCAGTATTGGCTGTTTCAAAGCCATTTTCTGAGCTTTATGTATGAAGCATTTTGCACTTGAGGCTGGAGATGTACAATTTTTAAAGGCTTGGGGAGGTGCCCAAGGGACATTAGGTGCTTGGTGCAGGCATTCAGCCCACCCTGTTCTCCTTAAAACCCCACTTTGCAGTAATCTACTGCTTTTAAGCACCTAAACCCTTGCCTATCTGATGGGAAGCCCTGTATTTACATACTGAAATTTCAGAAATTCAGATCATTTTAGTTTAGATGTTTAAATAGTTGTATTTTTCAGAGTAAATCACAAGGTGTTAATATGAATATATATATAAATATCTGCTACAGAGCAGTTGCCTCAGATCTGTCATGTTACCACATTTATAATATTTTATTTTAATTGTTTATTTTATTAATTTTATTATCTTTTATTTCTATTATTTTAGTTTAATTTATTATTTTATTTTTAAGATTTTATTTTTCATTATATTATTTCAGTATTTACTTTTCATAGTAGTGTCTTTTTACAAAAAGAGGAAAGTAGGACACTGGATTATTTTATTAATGGATTATTCTTTCTAAGAATATCAATATAGTTTTCTCTTACAGTAGTAACATAATGAAGCTTCCAATAAAGAAATATGAAAGAAACTGTTAATCTAATTATCCTTTTCTTTAATATTCATCCCACAATAAGTTTACATAGCTGAATCCTCAGCTCTTCCTTGACCTGAGTGCATAACAAGCTCTCAAATGCTTTTTTGGGCCAAGAAGTGAATAACAAGCTACAGAAACATTAGTTTTGAGATCTTAGTCTGGAATGGTCTGGATTTGTGGTGGACAGACAGTTCTGTGGGATTGGGATTATGTCTCTCCGAAGTGCCTTCAGATCCCACAAAATGCAGGTGTTCAGAATTTGTTTGGCAAATTAAAATATCTGTTTGCCTGTGAGTGCTCATTGTATCATGGGTGTCATGGTAATACAAAGAATAAATAACACTGTACTGCTAATTCTTAAGGAAGTCAAGAGGAGTGACGACCTCTGGGGTATGAGTGTCCTCAAGCCTTCCTGATTTCAATGGGATCTGAAGTGCTCCAATTTACTGCACAATGAGATTCAACCAGAGGCAAACATTCAAATTATTCTAATCCATCTATAGTTTTATCTTCTAAATGTTAAAGTATCTCTTAAAAGTGGTACAATAGGACCTAAGTCTCCCTTTTTGGGAAGACTTCTTTGTTCATATTTTTGTTCTTCTACCAAACATACACTGTATTGTAATTCTTCCTGCCCCACTCCCAGCAGATGACCATGAGAGTTCTGCAACTGGTTTATAAGTTGTTCCTTGCACTACCCACACAAAATCACATGGATTAAAAATAAAAAAAAAAAAATACCAAAAAAGCAAATTATTAAAATTACCTGCCTTAATTTAAATATTCAGTTCACTTAAGGATGTAACCACTCTAACACCACAGTAAGAGAGCGAGCTGGGACCACCAGAGCATGCAAACCCCCTGCATACAGGGCTACCTAGTCCAGGGGAAGGTTAGTTCACTGAATGAGAGCTTAACCTGATTTATATTAACTTGACATATTTGAAATCATTATTGCACCCTATGTAAAACAAGGAAATCACACCACGTCCTGCAGGAACACTGCTGGATTTAAACATCCACAGAAATGTGTTCAAAAAACATATAAACACACGGAGTACATGAACCCTCCAAGAGGCATTCAGGGATACAGTATTCCTTTAAAATTTAAGTCACGAACTCCTAAGGGAAAATACCAGAAAAACAACTAGTGCTTTCTCTAATGCAAGTATTAAAAATGAACTAAAGATCTCAGCAGACCATTCGTGCTACCCTATTTCTCCCCCTGCTTTTGCATCGCTACGAGAGCACCAGGAACCCAAAAAAAAATTAGCCAGGTACCCTTCTCCCAAAGAAACCATCAGAGCTTGAGTGTATGCACCAAAAAAAAAAAAAAAAAAGGCAATACACAGAAAATTGAGAGAGATCCAGCTCACCTTGAAGTCCATTTCCATTTGCACTGGTGCAAGATGGTGGAGGAGAGGCTTGGGGCCTGACAACAGGAGCGAAGGCGCTCTTTTGTTTCACTGCAGAGATGACATTGGCAGGTGAGAATGAGAAAATGCCGTGTGTACTGCTACAGTTTGAAGGGAGGGTGACCGAAGAGGCTGCCATGGTAGGGCTTGACGGCACTACTGCAATAAAGCAAAAATAATCAGGACTCAGATTGAGGTTTTCACGGCAAACACGGAAAAAGAGAGTGATAGGGCCTTGCCTCTTAAAATATATATAGAAATATATATATATATATAAAAAAAATATATATAAAAAAATAAAAATGAAATGCCTTGGCTTGGCCACTCTCTGGATAACAGGCAAACTCTTTTGTGTTGGACTTTTGTTACGAATTGCGCAGTCCAATTTTTATTTTGTTTCATTTTTTTTGTTTTGGTTTGGTTTATTTTTTTCTCTATCTGAGATTGTATTCTGGCACAAAACAGATCAATTTATTATTTTCATTTTTACGTCCAGCCTCCAGAGTCACCCCTCCTTTTATCCAGTAGCTGACAATAGAGGAAAATCAAAACAATGCAAGGAGTTGATTTTGTAGTAAATATGAATCTATATGATGATGTGTTACCAAAAATAGACACTTACTGCCGTAAGGAGAGTTAGCTGAGGAGCCATTAAGAAATCCAGGGGAACCTGGTACACCTAGATTGGGCATGCCGGCATTGCCATATCCATTCATGCTATTGCTGACTGTGTTGTAATTGGACTGCTGAGGAGTACTGCTGGGAACATATCCTCGCGGGGAAACACTGCTTGTGTTGCGACTGTAACCTACTGTGTTAGAAACCCCCCCACCCCAAAAAAATAATGTTATTTTATAAGATAGACTTAGGGCTGGGGGGTTTCCTCATGCAGCATATATTACACAGTTTTAATTGATTGCACAGCTTTGCTCTGAGTTGTCTCTCACTGCCCTATCAACTCTTGCAGCTTGAGATAACCTTATCACGCCAACCCTACTTAAATCATCCGCGAGCACTCTATGTTGTCTCTCCTCTTAGCACAGACAGCCAACAAAAGCTCTCTTCGATCCAGCTGTGTCAGGTGCCTTCACGTTTGTCTTTAGGAGCAATTATCAACAGGCTCAAGTCCCGCTTTGTACCAACACACTGCGTGAACTTTCAGCCTCTCCAGACCTTCAAATGCCAGAGCTGACAAGAAAAACTTTTTTGTTGCAGTGATTTACTTTAAAAGGCTGTTTTGGGGTCTTCATTTTGTGATTGATATTTTTATGCTAACAACAAGCTTTCATAAGGTGTAGCCATCAGTGAAAACTAATTCAAGAGCAAGTACAGAATTTTATAAGGCTTATTAGCTTGGAAATACATTAAAAGACAATCTTTTTAGAAGAGGAAACATAGCAGAATCAGGATTTTAAACAACAATTTGTTCCTATCTGAGCAATCAATTTAATAATTACGTTGCAAGCAAAAAAAAATATGCGTTTGAACATATCTAATAATCCTGTTTCCCTCCTTTCATTAGTATCAAAATTAATTTTAAATGCAATATGCTACATGCATTTTCAATTACAACAGGTAAATTAAATCAACTATTACTTTTATTAGTAACATATATGTCACACATGCCTACAAACAAAGTATTTTAAAATCACAGACATCAAATTAGATTTATCTGTGTAAATATTCCAAAACCAGGTGGAGGTACCTAGACATAATTATTTTATATTAAAAAAAAATACACGTTGTATATTTACTGCGAATAACAAAGAGCTTTCTACACTTTGCCAATTGTATTTTTTTCCCCCGCTAGAGATGCTTTATGATAACAGTAAATGAAAGAACAGGAAGAATTAAATATTTCAAGAAAGTTAAAGACGGCATTTCAGACACACGAGTAGGGAGAGAGAAAGAGATAGGACACGGCAGTGACATCAGCTCGGATTGATGGCACTGGCCAAAAGCAGTCACCAAGGTGGAGCATTAACTCTTGAAATCCCACCTACCTTGGTCGTTGGCTTGTGATGTTTCGGAGACGTTGACGGCGAGCTGGCTGCTGAAGGAGTTCACCCCCATCATGCCGGTGTGAGCGGGAGTGTTGGCTAGAGTGGGGATCTGGTTGTGGTTGCGGGGCACGCTGTACAACGCCTCGGCAATGTCAGCTGCTCGTTTCAGGATTATCTCCTGGAAAGACAGAAAAGAGGCTCTGACAACTCAGACGCTGATTTGCGCCAATAGCCCAAGTTGCAATGACGCTAAAATTTACCGAAGAGGTTCAGGTGGAATTATAGTGAGGGCGGAGAGTTTGCTGCGTGTTTCAAAAACACCTCCTGTTTTCCTCCCTGCATGCAATTCCACCTCAGCACAGTAAGTATAAAGAAATAAAGAAATGAATGTAAAATCAGAGTTTAGCACTGGAAGTCAAGTCAAAATCCCAACACACATTTTATTCACTCAGGGCGGGAGATGTATTTTCAGCAGTTTGCAAAATTCAGTAGGTCTGATCCGCTCAGTTTAGCAGATTTCTTTAGGACTTCCCATTAGTCACTGTATATTTTGGCCCGAGTTCAAGGTTATTCTCTTGCCTTAATGCTTGCTTATGCTTTTGGCACCTTACACTTAATTGTCATTTCTGATGGGCAAACGAGCGGCAAGAGGAGAAGGGGAAGATGAAGCGTTTCCCTCGGAGCATTGCATCACATCAGACTGCCCTCAAGGTGGCTGGCAAAGCCCGGCTGTGTACAAAGGGAACGTGCTGATGCTCTGCCAGCTCTGCAAAGAGCAGGTATTGATCTACATGTGTCAGCATGGGAACAAAGACCGCGTTGGTGACCTACCTGGTTGTTATGGGGCATCCCATATAGGGCTTCAACAAGGTCTGCT